GGAGGAGGAACGTCTGGAGCGGGAGCATTTCCGGAGGATCATCAACGCCTTCCGATATTACGGGTAACGGAGACCTGGTCCCTGTGCGTGATTCCTGCAGGGTGGCCCTGCGCTCGCTGACCGGCCCCCGAAGGGTTCCGGGCTGTCCCGCAGCTCCCGGAGCAGGGCGCTCCCCCGTGCGGTCTGCGCTCCATGGCGAGCACTGTGCCGGTGGCGGGGCACAGCAGCCCGAGCCGGGAAGGGGCTTCTGCGCCACTTACCTTCCTGGATACGCTCAAGGTCGCTTTGGTACTTGTCAGTCCGGAAGCATAAAAGAAAGCACCAAACCTGAAGAGGGTGTGAAAGATTTCTTAGGAGATAAAATACTCTAAGATACTGTAAAGTCTTCAAAACAATAGTAGTTCGTGCTGGCAAAGAAATGCAAATGGTGTCTCAATTATTGGGGAAATTCGTGAAAGACATTTGAGTTTGCCCGAGAGATAAGGGCTAATGGCTACCATTTTTAATAACATCTGTTGAGTTAGAAGAGGGCTTACTGGCCCCATAGAAATTAGATAAATCTAACTTTATGATTGAATCCATTGAATAGAAGAGGAAACAAGTTACTAAGATGGCGGTGGTGGAGACTGGCTGAAAAAGTCCAGTCTTCTTCAGTATTTTGATAAACTGTTTCCTGTTTTTAGGTTTGGGAAGCAGATTTGGGATGTAGCAACACTGTATATCTCTGTACTTCAGTGGACCAAGCCCCATCATGTGACTCATTACTGTGTTTTGAACCCTTCTTGTCACAAGCGTAATTTTTACATGATAGTGAGATTCTTGATAGGAGTGGGTGATATTTATGTAACTTCTCCTGTTTGAGGTTTTCCTGTCTTCGGTTTTATTTGTTTTCCAGGATTAGTGTTTGAGCGGGGAGGTTGGTCTAGATGATACTTCAGTGTGTCTTCCCGAGTGAATTCTCTAATTCATTCTGGATGTATCAAAGACTTAGTTAAAAATATCTGATACTAGTGGCTATTAATGCAGTTCCCAACTGTAATGTACTCATGTCAGTGATGTAATTTTATCCTCAGGCCTTACAAGCTGGGAACATCATTCTCAACCTCATGCTGAACTGTGGCTCTAGGTTGCTTTTGAATGCTTGTTTTAGTAAATACATAAGAAAAAGATGTGACCTAAATTTTCAATACAGAAGTTCAATTAAATTACCTCTGTCTCAAAGAAATAACTCTGAATGTAGGTGAAATTACATATCTCAGTAGTTTAAAATAATTGGAATTTTTATTTACATACAGATGTTTATTAATTGGGAACGTCTGTATGAATAAGGCAATAACACACTTTCAGATCAGTCCAGATCTTGTTCTTCTCGTCTTGAGAGAAACAGACTTAACTTCATTATTTATAGTTCTGATTTCAGTGAATTATTAATTTTGCTAGATGTTTGCAATTAGCATGAAAGGGTGGAGAATTAGGTTCAAAGATATTTTTTTTTGGATCAAACCTTTCAAGAAGATGATGTTAAGTTAAGCTTATGTGCTCTATATTGAGGATCAATTTATTTTTCTATTGTTTCTTCTCTGTTTCTTAATGTAATTTTAAACCAGTGTAGCTATTGTAGTGAACAAGCCCTTCTCAGAAACATGTGCATGAAATATTAACTGGTCAAATTTCAAGACTGAGGTTGCAACTAAAATTGCAGCAATTGCACCGTACTCTCACTGATGGTTAGTTTTCAACTTCGTACAGCTTTATGCTGACACAAGAGTTTGGGAAACTGCAGTATGACTTGACCAGCCTAAATGATTTGGTGGACAAAAGGGGCAGTGTCTCTTGTCCTGGCTTTATGACTGTGCTCAGCAACTAGACTTCTGTCAGTTTAGACAGAAGTCACATCTAGAAAACTCTAGCAAAAGCTTAGAAGATTCACCTTTTTTGTGAAACTTTTATCTTGGAGAAGTGGAGGAGGTATTTTTAGCTTGTATCAGTTCCATGATCAAATTCACAGTACTAATACTTAGGGTAATATGCTGTTAAAAGGGGGTAGATTAGTATCTTAGTGTGGCTGCCAGAACTCTGGCATGGTCTAGCTATGACTTTTGCATTTCTTTCAGAAGCAGTTGATCTTGAGGATCCCAATTCGCACTCCACGTCATTTTTTCTGTAGCCAAAGTTTACCACTGCATCCAGCTCTTAATTCAATTTAATTGGATTTGGGAAACAATCTTGGAGATGGTTGTTTGTTAAATTTTGTAGATCCATGGATTAAGGTAGTCATCACCTGCTCTGGAAATAAGTGGCTAATGATGAAACTTAAGTCCTCTTAAGCAGGAACGTGTTAAAAAGAGTGATATTGTAGAACTAGATCTTTAAAAAATGTTTGCCTAAAAAATTCTTGAGAACTTGTTCTCCTGTAAAGAATTAAAAAGTCTGATCACTTTCTGTGTATAACAAAGTGAATAATTGTCATTGGAATAGGTTACAGTGAATTATTTACATGTAATTTGTGTATTGGTTCTAAATATCTAAAACTTTTGCTTTTTAGAACGAATATGCATGAACGAGTGAACAGAACAGAGAGGCAGTTTAAGTCTCTCCCAGCTAACCAACAGAGTCTTCTTCCTCAATTTCTTCCACACCTTGACAAGATTCGGAAGTGCATTGATCATAATCAAGAGATACTACAGACCATTGTGAATGACTGCGTTCATATGTTTGAAAATAAAGAATATGGAGAAGACGTATGTGAAAGTGGACTTTTTCTTGATCCAAAACTAAAGTCTGTATGCTTTGGGATTTTCTACATTTGTTTTTCACACCTCTAGGCCTCCAACTTTCCTTTTGCCTTTATTTTCTCATTTCTTGTTTCTTGCTTGCTTACACTTTTCTCACTCTTTCACATTTTGTGAAGCTGATGCTTACTAGAGCTGTTTCTTGCTAGTTCTTTTAGTTACACTTAGGAAAACTAACTGTGAATCTGGCAAATGTTTGTAAAAAGATATTTTTCTCTGTGGAGTTCTAGCTTTACTCTGCTTACATTTTAAAGTTCTTTTTCTGTTAACTATGTAGAACAGAAATGATATTGTCTGTCTTACTGTAGGTTATTGTGTGTTGCAGCATTCTGAATTGGTTGCAATTCTAGATGGGCCAAGTATTTTTAATGTTGTTATTGGTGAGCACTTTTTTACTACTTGACCTGCTTTTTTAGTGTGGCGTCTCTGTCAAACAAAATGGCCCTCAGACTTAAAAGACTGATAGAGGTGGACACTGAAGTCCTTTTTGGTATCGGCAGACAAAATTCAGTAATGGACAACTCTAAAGTGAGCTTCTTAGTATTGCCATACCAGTACCTAGAGGGCTCCTCTTTTCAGAGTAACCAGTTCAGCTTCTGCACTAGCTAGGCCCTGGTCCTTTCCTGAATAGGGACTACCAATTTGCTTTGCTATGCCATACCCTATGTTTTTTTTCTGATGTGGAAACTGGTCTCTTGGATGCCAAATGGAGACAGCAAACTCAGTTTGTTTAGGATATTAAGGTGGATTGGAGCTCTGGTCCCAGGAATGAAAGGCAAGTGCTTTGTTAGCTAAAACTCCCAAAAGCTCTTATAGCGTGACATTTTTCTGTTTATAATTTCGGTTTTTTCCCCCAAGACTCAAAAAACTTTGTACATTTTCCACTAACTTTTTTTTTTTCCCCACGTTAATCAGGGAAGCGGGAAGATAACACCAGCTTCAACATTTGACATGGATAAATTAAAGTCCACATTGAAACAATTTGTGAGAGACTGGAGTGAAGAGGGAAAGTCTGAGAGAGAATCCTGCTACCAACCAATCATTAGTGAAATTGTAAAGAACTTTCCAAAAGAAAGATGGTAATAGTGTCTTAAGACTTATATTTATGTGGAGATAAACTGTTGCACAAATCTAACAAAGTTTGTGTGGAGTAATGAAAAACTTGGTTTCAAAATACAGGAGTTTTTGTGAATGCAGTGGAATTTATTTTTTAATCAGGAGAGTTTTTATTTCTAATACAAAAAACCCATATTAATAAACTTCACGAAGTAATACCAGGTAAATCAGGAATAGCGTTTTGTTGTTCTGCAGCTTGGTGTAACAGAATGTATTTAACCTTTCAAGTAAAAGACTTCAGGAGTGTGTGAAGTTAACTCAGTTGTGGTCAGCAAGGTAAAGTTTGCAGGTTAGCAGATTATCAAAGTGTGTGTGCTGCAGATAAAAGCAAGGACCCTTGTGACAGCAGGAAGTATCACTATTGCCCTTCATGATGGAAGGAAGGAGGAATATACTCTTAAGCTCTAGTGCAGTTGCACTTAGTTGCACTAAGAATTTACTCGGAAAATAGTAAATTCTAGGCTTGGTTTCAAACAGGTGTTACAAGACAATTCTTAAAAAAGCTTTGCTGCATGTATGAGGGTAACTTTGTAACCACATTGGCTTGTTAACACTGTAAAATAGTTGTTGATGCAGGGTTTTTTTGGGTAACTTCAGGTAGAAGTATACTGGTAAAATCTCAAAAGGTAGTAGTGCTATAAGAATTCCATGTTTAATGATTCTGTCAATTAATCAACTCAGTTATCTTAAAGTATATTTTAGGTAAAACTTAACAGTCTTACAGTTAGAATATATGAGAACTTTCTACTCACAAATGTAACGAACCACAACTTAGATTTGATATAGGTGGGTATTACTCTGGGGTTTTTTCTCTCTCAGTAATTGTTAATAATGTACTAGTACAAATTTGGAAAATCTCTTCTACTAGCCATTTTTTAGTTTCATTAGTAAAGACTGTGGTGGCACAACATGGAATGGACGTGGTTGATTTCTATTTTGCTTTGGACTGACTTATGTCAAAATACAAAATGTTTTATCTGAAAGTGAACTTTGCAATGCTTTCAGTGCTAATAGTGCCCTACATAAGATAGAAATGAATTAAATACTGCAGGTTATTTGGTGCATCTCTGATGTGTGGGTCTGTAGAAAAACTCATAGTTAGGTAGCAGTTCACCTTTTTCTCTTGTATGCTAGCCTTTAATGGATTTTGTTTATGAGGGAGATAGCTTATGTCAGATCTTAAAAGATCCATGACTGAGGCTGAAAAATCTTGACTTTTACATTTGTCATCAATGAACTCTATTTCAAAACCTCCAGTATATATTAGGAAGCAACATGTGGTAACAGATTGGGTGAGTCTGAAGTTGGTAGTTTTGTGCTTATTTACTAGGAGTTCTGGTGGTGGTCAAACAGAACTAACGTGACAGAGCATGTGTCCCTATTATGGTGGCTCTGGAATACCATTTATTTTGTCTCTGCCAAAATCTAATACATCACTGTATAGATCAAGCATCTCTACTACAAGTTTGAGTTTGTCAAACTAAGTGGTGGGTTTTTTTGATTTCTAAAATATGTTTTAAATAAATACGTTATTTAAAAGTTTGATATTCATTATCACTATGGAGCTGTCGTAGCACTTGCGCAAAACCTTTTCTCTGTTCACATATTGTTAGCTACTGTCTAGCTCATTCTTTTTCCTAGTTACCAAAGGCACTCTCCTACTTACCTCTTCAAGAAGTGTTTTGACAATATTCTCAGGCACATGGTGGGATTTTTGGGGTGTTCTGTGCAGGGCCAGGAGTTGGACTTGATGATCCTGATGGGTCCTTTCCAACTCGGCATATTCTCTGATTTTATGATTTTGAAGCATAGCGGGTTTTTCAGTTTGAAGTTATGGACAGGGCCTGAACTGACCATAGTGGAGTTATTCTGTCTCTTGTTTATAGTGGGAGAGGACTAACTGTGGACACCAATGTATGAAAACAGGTTGTAGATGAACCTCAGAGTTCAGCTTTGCATTTCTTTAGAGTTCTCTTTTGTGCTGAAGTCTCCTGAGATGATGAAAGTGCTAGACAAAAAGTGCGTTGGTGGCACTGGGTGATGAAAACAAATTTTCTAGATGTATTTTGCATTAAAAATGATAAAGAAATAAATATTTTAAATTTAAAACTGTCAGTGCAAGTCACCTTTTACTTTGTAAAAGAAATTGTAATATACATAAAATTTGTAATACTCAATGGAATGGTACATGCAGTTTCTAGTTAACATAATTTGTTAACGTTATTGATTCCTTGCATTGGAATCACGTGAAAAAGAAGTTTAAATTTTTGAAACTATTAAAGTATATTTCGCTCCATGCACACACATGTTGTAGTATGCTCTTTGTAAGATTGACCTGTATGGGTGCAGTTGGTATGTAAAGAACAGGAAAAGCAGCGAAGTATTGTATATGCTTGCTTTTCTGGGAAGTAGAAGAAATACAAGCAACGGTTGAAAGTAGCTGTAAATTACAACAGTGTGAAGAGGTGCTGCTGTTATCCTGTGTTTCAGTCTAGTCTTCTGATAAGACTGTCATCTAAAAATAACATACATGGCCAGAGCTATTCCTACCTCTTATTCCTCTTCAGAAATAATTCATTCTTTCTTAGCAGAATCTGTTAGTAGGATCCATCAAGTGTTTTTAAGTGAAATCCCATGAGATCAGGTCTTCCCGAAGAACTGATAGATTTCCTGCATTATTCATATTGGAATTTAATTGTGTTTCTGCTCAGAGGTGCTCTGTAGTATTTAAATTTCTTGTATTTCTTCAATCTGAATGAGCCATGATCACTACTTTCTGAAGGAAAAAATAGTAAAACGTAGATACATTTTTATTTCTTGGTAGAATGTGTTTGTTAAAGCATTTTTGCAGGGAAGCATTTAAGTTGAAAATTAAATAAGCATACTGATACATTTTTTTCTGATTCCCCTTTTTTCTGTTGTCTTTGTTTCCTTTCACTTCTACTGTTGTTACCCTTCCTGTTTAAGTGAAAGGATGTAAAGATCATCAGCTTCTTTTCCAAAAGAAATCTAAGAAATAGTTAACCTTTTTGTTAATTATCATTCCATGGCCAAGAACAGTATACTTAGGTATTTTTTCCATTGTTTGCTTCTCATTAATGTGGCCTCTGGAATCAACTATAATTTGAAATTTATCTTTGTTATCCTGTCCAGCAATCAATTGCATTTTCCAAGGTGCTGGCAGAACAGCCCAGAAGAGATCACCAGAGCTTAGTTTCCTTTTTATATGAAAAACAGCTTATTGGTCCTGAGCTTGGTTATACTTCTTGAATGTGCTCAGTCACATTTATAGTAGAGTTGAAATTTCTGCTTTATTTGAATTTTATTTAACTTTATAGAATATACATCTGTCCTTGGAGGTTTTTGTACTTAGCTTAAGCTTCCCTTTAAACATTGGACTTAAGAGCAAACTATCGTCAGTGTTACTACAGTCCACTGAGTGCTTTGCATATCTTTACATGAAAGTATGTAAAACTCAGCTGCCAAGTTTGAGAAAAATTTGTCTTCAAATTATTGTGCTGTTTAGTGTTTGTCTTTAAAAAGTCTCTGAAAATATGATTTAAGTAAAATAATGAAAATCCTATGCTGAGAATTGGATTTAAATATACAGACATTGTAAACACCAGGAAAGGATTCCCACAGTGTGGTTTTATTTTGATATTTCCACTGATGAGAAGCCCACCTCTGTATGGGATGTGTATTTATCACTTCTGTTCATTACATAAATTGAACTACAGTGTTTAGTTTATGAAAATGAGTTTCATGTTTCATGAGATACACTAATTTTCATTTTGCTGAGCATGTCTACCACTTTAGCACCATTATTTTTGGTTACAGCACAATATGCATGAAATAAGCCTCTGTTTTAATCATGTTTAATGTTTCCTGTTAAAAAAAGCACACCTTTAAAAAAGTTAAAATCTTCCTTAAAAGCTGAAAATATATCACACTGCAAAATGCGGTACAAAAATGTCATGACAGATTTTGGTTGTTTCTGATATTTCTCCACTATCTTTTTTTAAGAGATTTTTGCAGTTTCAGTAGTTGAGCCAAACAGAACCATGCAGCCCTCTTGCCTGCTTTCCCTGCTCTTTGGCTAGCCTCCTCTCCCTGCCAAGTTAATAGGCTAATGTTTCTACTCTACTGGACCACAGTTATTTAGTGGATATTTGTTGATTACCCATTTATGTTCCTAACTGCTGCTAGATGTGTCGTAGAAATCCTGCTGCTGCTGACTGGATCAAGGCTAGTTTTCACTGTGGATAACTTTGGGTTATTATATTATTGCAGGTTTTGATTTTTTTTTTTAATTGTCTTAGCTACTGCTGCAATCACATATCCACCAAAAGAAAGTGTGTTTTTTCTAATCTGTTAAAGGACTGTGGCTGTTAAAAAAGCAATTTCTGTGCAATTAAAGATTTTTAGCTATTGTCATGATTTAAAATTCAACGTACATAGTGCATTGGGGTGCTTCCACTACCACAGCTTTCATACCTTAATTTTTTCTAAATTCATTAATAGGTTGTCACAAACACTTCTTTTTAAGTCTTGAAAAGAAGAAGGTGTTTGACCATTTTTTCTGAAAACAGGACACTGTCAGCAGTCACTACTTGTTATGCAGTCAGTTTGCCACATACCTAATTTCTCTGACTATAAATTAAAAAAAAAATGCTCTTGAACCGTTTTGGAAGGCTAGTTCAATGTTAGTGGACTGAGATTTGGTTATATTGTATTTATTAGCTGTACTCTGTAGGCTGAAATGAAGTTGATGGCCAGGGCCAGTGTCTGGCAACTGATGTAAAGAGTATAGGTAGAAATTACATTGCTAACAAATTTCCAGACAGGCCTTAATCCCTTAATAAAGGTACAAATGAAAATTTAGTTAAGACTGCACCAGAAAAATACAATAGAAAACTACTTACTAAGAGAGAATTTGGAAAATTAGTTTAGAAATACGAAAACTTTATATTGTGAATGAAAAGATACAAGACAATTACAAGCAATTTAAAATCAACTCGACTGTTAGAGGCTTTATCTTGTTTTAGGATGCATAAAGGTGCAGATTTCAAAATATGAATACACCTGCATTATTAGGTTGTTTCAAGAAAAGTCTTTTTTCTAATCAATGTATCATGATCTTAAAAGTGGCTTAAGGCTTTTCAACCCACTCATTGTAGAAGTGTCCACTTGGATGTGCTAAAATCTGTGTAGAGCTAGTCTAAATTTTTCATGAATAAAGTGAAATTGTAAGGAAATGAAGAAATAGATGAGGTTAGAAATACATTTAGAATAACAGTGTATCACTATGAATAGGAAAAACTTTAGATTGAGGCTTTTCTAGCTTCTTCCGGAAAGTGCATTTTCTTCTTCCTTCTTCTTCTGGTTCCATATTTTCAAAAGTATTGTCTTGAGCATGTAGTTTTCTCCTGAATTAATTTTTTTTTTTTCAGTAGGACTGTCTTCTGGTTTCTCTTGTAGACTAGAGGTAGTGAGAACCATTGCTTCACGGGAGTGCTCTTAAGTAATAACAAAGTCTTGATTTCCTACTTCTTTTTAATCAGAAAAAGAGCCTGCACATATAATGGGAATGAAATGAAAGTCAGGAATGATTTTTCCATTTCAGAGGCGTCATCACTAATTACGTGATTAGGTCAAAACCCAAAAGACACTGTTAAATCTTCTTTGTTACACTGTGTGCCCTTTAGAAAAGAATAATACTTTCTGTTGATTTTGGGTAATAGTGTTCAGAAATGTACAGCTTTTCAGAATTTACATAACTCTCCTTCAGTGATCTTTGTGCTTATGCAGCATGCTAACTCTTTTGAACCCTTCTTGGAATGCTGAATTTTTAAGCTGTCAAAGGCTTTGCATTTTGCTGTCTGTGCTTGGATCTTCTGATTGTGGCCTCCTCTTCCATTTAGTTGCATATAAATTGATAGACATGTTTTGTCTTTGCACGTGACATGCAAACCAGAGAGTAGTATGAGTGTTCGTGCTTTTTTTTGGTATATGAAATCATAAAGTCTTGTTCATGGCTGGAAACTGAAAAAATATTTCTTTTTAGATTAAGTATCTTTTCAGTTTGGCATGGGAGGGGGTTTTGTTGTATGAGTGGAGATTTCATTGCACTGTGGTGGAAGTCTGATGGTTACAGTAATCTGTATTGCCTTTTCTGCCTCAAAGAGGAGCAAATATTGAGATTCTTAGTTCTCCTATTCGTTAGTTGCTGCACTTGGAAGATGGGAGAGATTTTTCTAGGTATTTCAGTAAACACACTGCTGGATGTCTTCTGGTTGTCTTCAACTTGATGCCTAGTTAGGGTTAAAGGGTTGGAGAGCCAATTTAGGAAGTATGTCACTTAGATACTTCAGGGAAACCCACAGTTGCTGAGATGGTGACCAAGGTTTTTACATTCTGAATTGCTCATCAGATTATGGAGGTTTCATGTTTCTCATTTCTCCTGTCAAAATACTTGTTTATTTTTCATGCAAAGTAACAAAAATGTATCTAGAATACTTGCTGATTATCAGTGGGACTTGGAAAAATACACGGTTCATATGATAATGTTCTTCTATTCACTTAAGAGATTTTTGGCTTGATAACTGTAAAAGTTTTAAGGAAAAATATCGTTCACTAATTATGCTCTGTATTCTGAATGAGGGTTGTATATGTTCTTTTAAGTAGTTTCTGTGTGTTGTTTTGACTGTACAATTAACCAATCTGATCAGAACTGGCTCAGTTTCCATTTAAAAATAAAGTCATACAGGAAGTATAATATCTAAGTATATGGGGGGAAAATGTTTGAGTGGACCTCTAAGTTGTGTTAAGAGGTATCAGATAAAGATTTAACTATTATTTTTGTTCTGTTGCAGGGATTTCTCCAAAGTTAATATCCTGGTACCTGGTGCTGGGCTAGGTAGATTGGCGTGGGAAATAGCTATGCTCGGTTATGCTTGCCAAGGAAATGAATGGAGCCTCTTTATGCTCTTTTCTTCTAACTTTGTACTCAACAGGTATATAGCTTACATTTTACTTGCTGATTAAAACCTAGAGAGGCAAAGTCATAAATGAGAAAAGTCTGAATATGTAAATCTCACAAGAACAGATTTGTAAGTCCTAATACAGGACACACATAACCACTGTTTACAATGTTTTAATGAAAAAAAAAAAGAAGTCATAGGGATAAATGGGGAAGGAGGGATTGTGTCTGAGTCATTAAAATGATAGGAAGCATGGGGTTTAAGTTATGAGATGTAGAATCTCTAGATTGTACCACAGATTTTCTGCAAAATTTTGATTAGGTTTTGTGATTTATTTCACGTGGTTCTGTAAAATGCGCAGCTCTCTTACTGGTGTCAAATACGGGCTCTTAAATATGTTCGTGGTATGTAGTGCTGGTGATTATTAACAGAAGAAAGCTGCTAAAAGAAAGTATTACATTCCATACTAAGAAAGAGGGTAGGAAGACTACAGGTGGGCAAATATGAAAGTGGTCTGGGGGATGTTTTGTTTTTTTGGTGGAGTTGGTGCCAAGTTCAGAGAGACAATTTGCCAGTCATTCATCAGTCTCTAAGTGTACACCTTTGCTGAAAACACCTAAACTATTGGTTTGTATTCTGTATTACCATAAAACAAAGATCTGTTTGTAGACTGATTGTCCACAGTGCACCGTGATGATCTTACATCTCTTACAGCTTACTGTTCAAAAACAGCAAGAGGAAAACACTGTTTATGATGGCTGCTGCCTCTGCGTGTAACAGGTCAATGTGTTGGAAACAGATATTTACTGGAGGTTCATTTGTTCTTTTTTCCTACATTATTCTCAAATGAATCATCTACTGGTGAAATTGTATATTACAGTTGATCTGACTGATGCCTTGCAGCTATTGAAAGGAAGCCACATTCCTCTTGTGCTTTGGAACTTTTGAAATTATTCAAAGCAGCATAAAAGTATTCATTTCCCATCTTTGGTAGCACTGATCAACTGTCACAGAGGTTAACTTCATCCCTACCATCCCTACTTCATCCCTACCATCCTGCCTGATGGCAGGCTTCCTTAAATAATGAGTCTTTGGCCTATATGTGGAATTGTCCTGAAGATTCACGCTTAGCTAACAGTGGTAATCATTTGTAGCATCTAGTGCTCATGTAGTGTTTCCTGTTTATACAGGATATTTAGCAAAGAGGTGTATATGCATTAAACTTGCTAACAGTATGTGATTTTAGACAGCAAAATTGAGTGTTATGTAACTGCTGTAATCTTCATCACTTCTGGGCAAATTATCAGTTACATCTCCTTGAAAGAGAATACTGCTAGCCTGACTATGAACTGCAGTCAATTCAGTTCAAATCCAAGCATTTTCCTTTCCGCCAGATCTATTTGGGGGCTTGGTGTGTCTTTTATGAAGGTCTTAGGGACTTGGAGAATCTTTCAGTTTAGTCTTAAGTGGCTGTTCGCAGTTAGCCTTCTGAAATGGACATCTTTGATTTCCTGAAACTGGAAGAAACAGCACTCATCAATATGAGCTGAAAATAGTAGTTAAGGAAGAGTGGTAAAAACCAAGGATTTAGTGACTTAGTTTTTAACTATAGTCTCAATTTAATTTCTTTTTTCAGTTGATGAAAGCATGAGGATTTTGCTAACACGTGCTTAACAGTTTGGATATACCTTCTTTCTCTGACCATAGTTCTTTTTTAGGAGGACAAAGTACTGTTTTGAGTGTCAATTGCTACAGTAGGTTCCTAGATGTACAGTGACTTAATATTTCTGTACACAAAGTGATATCTGCTGATTTTCACATATTTAAAAAAAAAATCTTAATTTTCTTAGATGGTGAACTTTTGTTACAGTGGATAGAGGTGCATGGTATGATATGTAGAGTATGTGTCAAGGCATAACTGTGGTCACTGTAAGTATTTGAAATTATTTAGAGTGTGTTATTCTGTTGAGGAAGCACTAATTTGAGAATAAAGTGATCCTGGAGTACTTAAGCTACAGTGGCTCCAAAGCTGCTTCAGTTCTTTTATGGGAAATTCTACTTTTCCTTGTACGTGTAAGGTTTTTATGTGGTGTATTTTTCTAGTGTTTGCTTGAGTTCTGGACATAATGACAGATGTCAGAGGTGATCACCAGTGGTACAGACACACTTCATTTCTTAAAGTTTTGGAAGAGGAAAAACTGAAAAGCATAATCTGTTCTTCTGCATCTGCCGGGCAGCCTAAAGTCACAGGACACTTTACTTCCCTGTGAGATCTGACAGGAGGGGAAACAACAGTGGTATCTGTGTGGATGAGACAGGAGCAGCTGGTTGCTGATGTGCTGTTTTCTAGAGCACAGGGTCAATAGCCTTGGTGTCACTCGCTTTGAGAAAGTTCCATTCGAGTAATATAAAATCACTTTGTACACAAGTTAAAATAGAGTTAGTTTAAAAAACTTTAATTAACACCAGTAGAATTCATGCTAGTAATTGATTAATCTGTACATTCTGGAAAGAATTTAATTTTAGAGAAATCTTGACATTTGGAGAAGGCTTGTTTGTTGCATGTCCATGAATGCCTTAGGATCAAAACAGTTAAATTACTCTTGATCTATAAACCAGTGGTCAGAAGTGAGATTTGACCTATCAGTTTTTTCCAGAACTGAACAGTAAATGCCCTGCCCCTATGGAAAATAAAGAAGTGTGCCACAACTGAATCTGTTAGAGTTTTATAATATAACATATGTGACACGTGTTTTTTTGGAATGATGGAATTGCAAAGGACTGGAGTACTTAGTTTTGAAGTACAGATTGCTGAAGCTGGAAATGGTGGTTTTCAAGCTTGTATATGAAAAGGGGTTGGTCTTTTCTATTAAATTAGCAGTTTCCTTTGGAATTGTTTCAGTATACTGCTGCTCAAATAAAAGTTAGTTTTGTATTATTTTTTAGGTGATAAAAAGAAATATAAATATGACATGAAGAAGGTAAAAAACGTTATTTCAAAGACCATCACAGATGTATTCTAACCACCAACCAAAAGAATGCACTTTCTATAACCCAGTAGATTGCTTGCAGTTTATGGAGCATTCCATGATATGTATTTTATGGGACAGCTGTATCCTCTGTTGTCTCTGAAAGAAAATGTTTTCACTTTTTAGTTACAAACTGATTTTACAAGACCATGGGAAAAGCTTCTTATTATACTTAAATGCTTTATTTTATCACTTTTTAAAAGAAGAGTTGATTTAGTTAGTCATGTCAACCCAGAAATTTTATTCTACAAAGACATGTTTACTTAGTGTAATTGCAGTGATCCAGATGTTACAAACTTAAAATGACTTCTAGTGTGCTTTGCAAAATAGCATTTATTTATTTTTTGAAATTTTAAAGCATCCTTTCCGTTAGCATCTGGAAAATGCTTTTAATCTACTGTGTCTCAGAACCTTCTATGATTATGGTTCAGAAAAGACTGAAAAGTCTAGAATGGGAACAAACATTTCCAATAAAATTAATGGAACCAATGTTACTCCTTTTTTTTTTTTAAATAGGAAGATAAATTATCCAGAAAATAGTTGCTTTATAGAATATAGTAAATCATAAATTTCATTATTCTTACAAAATAAACTTATGTATTTTCTTTTCAGCAGAGAAATGAGTTAGAGAAAATTATAAAAAGTTGGAAAAGAGAATTTTAAAACTGGGTGGTTATTTTGCGATAATTTGTGTGTCAGAGTAAAATTAATTTTTTGATCAGTTCATAATGATGGGCAATCTGAAGTGTTGTGAATTAGATTAAGTCCTTTAGCAAATGTGTAGCTTTTACAAGAACTTTGACGCTTATATTTCTAAGAGGTAAGCAGTTAGTTGAAACTGAATTTTGCTGATTTTCATATTTTGCAGATGCTCTGAAATTAACTCATGTAAGCTTTATCCCTGGATTCATCAGTTTAGCAATAACAGAAGATCTGCTGATCAGATACGACCAATTTATTTCCCAGATGTTGATCCTCACAGCCTTCCTTCTGGTTCAAACTTCTCTATGACCGCAGGGGATTTTCAAGAAATTTATTCTGAGTGCAGTGAGTAAATGCAAACCTCTAGGCTATCCATGTATCTTCAGAGTATTTGGGATAGTTAATGATTAGAGAGAGAATGGAACTGTGTCTACAAACACTGAGGAAAACTGTAGAAAAACTGTAGTACAACTAGCTACTAACTGTAGCAAGATTTTCTTATTCAGAATATTTCTCCAGCTGTATAATAAAGTGCAAATCAATAGGTCTATTTCTTATTCCAAATCAGCTTTTCTTTTCTTCTTAGTTATAAAAAGAATACGGATGCCTCCTTGTCTAACAGATCTTGCAGGACCCTTCCTTACAGTTACTTAATTTTCTGAAGAGTCTGTCTTTACCATTACAACATCTGATACTGGCATAAATCCTCAAGACTTTTTTTTATTTTATTTACAGAACTTAAAATTTTTGCAATTTCAAGAATGCAATTTTAGAGAAAAACAGGGAGACTCATGCATTAAAAGGTAGATTTTGAAAGTTCCCGCTTGTTAAATTGACCAGTAAAAAACAGCTGGGGAAATATTCAGATACCGAATAAAATGTTTTAAAGCTAAGTGATTTGTGAACATAGACTTGTATTCTAAATACTAACTAGGTAGCCTAAAATCACTGGGTATTTTTGCAGTTATATTTTTAACAGTTGTCATATGAAGTTCATAGGACAGATGAGTAATAGCACACTTGAGGCTTCATTTATATAAAATGTTACAACATTTACATTTTACAGTATACATGTCATTTTATGTGTATGACCAATTTTATGAAGTGTATACATAACTATATGTAATGTTTCAGAGTGTATGTGTACATATACACACTATACAGGTCAAATGAACCCAAACATAACAATTTTTAATATAAACCAAAATATTTTATTTACTTGTAAACAAAATTAGGAGCCTTCAGATGTTGTTAGTTGAAAGTAATTCTGAGTATGTGAACAAATGCCAGGGTTAAATGATGAACTTTCACAGGGTAAAAGTATTCAAACTAATCTCTGTATACTTTGCTCTTTTTATGCAGATACGTGGGACTGCGTAGCAACTTGCTTTTTCATAGATACAGCACATAATGTTATTGATTACATTGATACTATATGGAAAATACTAAAGCCTGGAGGAATATGGATAAATGTAGGCAAGTGTGACCAGCCTCTCTTTTTGACTTATTTTTGATCAAATAATAGGCATCTAATACTTGAAAAGTGTGTGTGGATGAGTGTGTCTGTGCAGAAAACTGTACAGCTAGAAAAATACAGGGCTTGGAAATTATCTCAGAAATGTTCAAAATATGTTCAGATGTTTGCTAGTTACAATCAAGTCAACACCATGTGATTTTCGAATAGGCAAGTAAATCTTCCTAGTGGTAGGTTTAACATTTGGGCATCAAACATTTGTTATTTGACAAATGTAGTGTTCTAATATTCTTTTTTGCTACTTTTCTAAGACAGTAAAACTTATTCTATGTGTAAATACACTCTTGCTTTTTTTTTTTAATGTCTAGTTGGTACTGTGCTTCTAAGCAGACATTTTGGCAATGAGATTTATGTATGCCTTGGATCAAAACAAAAGAGATTTAACTGAAGTCTTCCATGGTGAAGGAATGTCAGACAAAACTCAGGCATTAAATATTTTTCATAGTATAAACTGGTCAGTCACTGGGCAGTCAGTCACTATCCCAGTCCTGGCCAGTCACAGAGTGCAGGCAGAGCTCCTGAGTTTTAGAGAGAGAGGTAATGCTGGGCTGAAGAAATTTTAAGATACAGAAAACAATCTGTTGGGGAATGTGACGCAGCTGAAGTAATTTGTTTTAGTTTTGCACTGATTCTGAAATTCATTATAAAAATCGTACTTGAGTGATAGAAATGCATTCTTTTGTCAGTATTTATAGAATCATAGAGTGATTTGGGTTGGAAGGGACATCAAAGATCATCTAGTTTCAACCTCCCTGCTGTGGGCAGGGAACCTTCCACATTTTTGAATATGAGTCTGGATATAAGCATTTGTTGTACTTTCAGTATGTGCTCTTCATTTTGAAAACATTTTTGTCTTTTTGATAGCCATTTCTATTGTATCTTTGTACTCTAGGTCCTCTCCTTTACCATTTTGAAAACTTGGGAAATGAACTTTCTATAGAATTAAGCTATGAGGATATAAAAAATGTTATTCTACAATATGGATTCCATATAGAGGTAAGAACGTGGTGCAGTTTGCAATGAGTAGTAGTGGTATAAACCAAGCAAACTGCTTTGATAAACCACCATAAATTTAGTTCAACATAATGGTATTTATTAATAACATCTAGGAGTATGTGTTACAAATTATCTGCTTTTCTCATTTTTGAGAGGTGTACAGATGGGCCTTGAAATCTAATATAGCAATTTCTTGTATAGTTTCTGTAGAGAAGCTGTCTTGAAAACTGCTGCTTTGTTTTTAGGTGGAGAAAGAATCTGTACTGTCAACTTACACTGTGAATGAACTCTCCATGATGAAATACTACTATGAATGCGTGTTGTTTGTGGTGAGAAAACCAGAACAGTAGTGGTGTGAATAGGTTAATGAGAAAAAAAACTGTTGACTTGAAAGCTGGAAATGAGGGTAAAGTGGTCTGGGTGATGTATGAACACAACCTCACATAGTGGTGCCTTCTTATTCCTAAGAGGATATAGATAGTGTCTATTTTCTTAATATCTCTATTGCTGTTCGGACATACACTATGCCATGCATATTTGTAATATACTTGTGAAGGTGAAGGATGTAATGTTCACATACACTGTCATTGTGCTTTGGAGTGCATTAGAAATAAAAGCAAAAATGTTTTCTTGAGAACAAAATTAAATGTTTGCCATAAGTAGGCTAATTCTCTGCATATACTGCCTAATATTTCATAGATTTATAGTGATTTTTTTCTATTATCTGATATTAGGAATGCATGGAGGTGCTTACTGTATTATCTGTGTCATGTTTAGAGAAGTATTTTTAAATGTATACTTAAATTATGAAGTCTGAAATGGTTGGAAAGTGGTAAAATTATTCTTGACAGATAAAAAAACCATCAAAACTGGTAGAGCATTTTCTGTGGAACTGAAATGAAGTAGATTATTGTATAAATGCTAATCTTTGACTGTACCACTGTTAACAGTGGGCAATTTGAAATACTATGTGAAAGCAGAATACTGAGTGAAGAAAAAGCAATGTGTGAGAAGCAGTATGATAACCTCAGTTGAGGAATACTAACAATTTTGATTGAGCTTTGTGTTGAAACTGAAATGTGTTAGATGCTTTGCCATCTTGTAATACATTGATTTTGAGTCATCTGACTGCTTAAGCTAAAACTTCCAAAGTTGATAAGCATAGCTGAGTTATCCATGCCACGTGTAGGTAGTACAACATAAAAACATCTTTCGGGGCAGTGAAGTTATGAGAAATAAAATACATTTTTTTTATTACAAAACAAAATTATAGGCACATCGTGAAGTTGTAAGGTATCCAGTTCCAAACTGGACTGGGTACCAGGGTTCTTTTGCGGCCGGGATAAGGGAAATATAAAGTTCGTAAAAATTAAAATATTTCTGGGCCATTTGGCAAATTTTGAATAGAGGGGTTTCTTTTTTTGTCTTTGGGGTAAGAACAAGGGAAGATCCATCATTTTTGACAGAGGATGCCTCGCAGCCAATGGGAAAGAAGGGAAAGCCCATTTTTGGAGAAAAGGAAGCCTTTTTAGGTAAAAATTAATATATTAAACTTATCTGAAAAAAGATGGGATTTTGTAAAACTATAAAATACATGACATTTAAACCCAAGGGGTCTTTTCTCCCTGGGACCTTGGTGTGAGATGAGACCGGCTCATGCTGAATAAACCTTTCCTTGATGATACAGTTCCTTTGTTTCATAGGTAATTGAATCTTTCTAAATTAAATAACGAGAGGTTTCTCACAAAGTTACATGTAAATATGTCCTATAACCTAATCACCTCTGCATGAGTCAGGATATGCAGGATAACTTCAGACACTTTATCCTTCTGACTTCTTGGCTTGTTCCTTATACTAATGTGGTTTTTTCCTAGCAGATGTGGCTTAGGTGAATATTTAATGTACAAGTCATGATACTATACAAGAGGTTTAATCTCCTTTCACTTGGAAGTTATGACGTACATGAGAACAACATTAATTAATAATCACTATTCTGAGTGGCGGTGTCATGTTAAGCATTTTGTTTTCTTAATATATTAATTACCTTAAGTATCATTTTCACGCATTTTCAAAATGATCTTTAAAATATAAAAGCCTTATGAGGGCTCAAGTTTTTTTCATATTTGACCTTAATGACACTGGTCAATATCTTGTTTAGTTCTCATTATTTTTAGTCCTGTCTTTCATGGTGGTGTCCTAATCACCTCCCTTTAATAGATTTGTTACGGCTTTTGGATTTTTCCAATTAAGGCCAGAATTTTGTGCCTTTATTCCTAAATTGAAAATCTGCAAGGAAGAAAAACACCAACTTTTTTTTTATAGTTTGAACACCACATAAGAAAGCACACATCTGTATATCTTACAGTACTTTGCCCCTTTCCATTCAGAATCCTTATTGAAATAGAAGTTTCTGGTCAACAGCAGTTTTTAAGTATACCATGGCTTAAAAAAGTCTTATTTGAACTATTCTTTCTAAAAGTGCACCACCATGACTCAGTTCCACAGATGAGGTATCAAAGGTCTACCCTGCTCCAAGAGAGATGTGTTTCAAGAAGAAACAATGCTATTGCAACATAAAATTAAAAATAAAAACCCTTGCACACTTAAAAATAAAAAAGCCACTTGCTTTAATTTCTGTATTGTACCATTTACTTTAATTTTTGAGGGAATTTATGATTCTTTGGTTTAAATCTGCTTTTTTTCTACCAGAATATGATTAGCATTTTACTTAATTTTCACGCTCCTTGGAATCAGACATAGCTTAAGTGAATGTAAATTGTGCTATTACTGAGTAGTATATCTATCTGTAATGTTACCCAATTTCTGCCTCCTATCCCGCCTGTAACTTGGAATGTGGTGTTCCTGCTTTTCACGAATAGGCAATGGGACTCTTTCTTTCTGGTTGAATGTTATTATCCTTTGTTCTGGTAGTTTTGTTCCTTGCCACCCCATGTTGTCACAGTTGCCATTTTTATGTATTTTCTGAAAATGTTTTTATTTGCTTACATCAGGTATAATATGGTTGTGTGCTTTTATTTCTGATCTAGAAAATGCCGTCTTCCCCGCACAATATTCTTTTAAATCGCAACAGTCACATTAAGAGTTGGAAGTAAAATAATCTTGTGAATGAGCTGTGTTAGTAGTGTTTTACCTACCTATTTATGAGTTCCTAGAATTCACCACTTGTACTGTTATGAGGGTCGTTGTGTATTATAGAATGTGATCACTGTTCTATTCGGTTGTATACGTGGGGGAGAATGTTCAAGGTGTTCATCAGATGAGATTGTTTAGTTTAGGTCGTTATTAAACTGTACATAGTAACAGATGTAAAATAAAATGCTGCATAACCTTAAGTGTAAAGCTTCTTTATATGGAGTTTGACAAATGTAAAATGGCCTGAGTTTTTTTGTTCCTTTATTTGTTTGGGTTTTTTACGTGATACCTTCTGAAATCGGTTGCGAAGATAAGGATGAAAAGTTTCACGTCTCTGCGTCCACTTCCCGCTATTTTACAGTGTGTGTAATGGACCTGGGGCTTTTTGGATATTAAAGCTTGGGGCATGCCTTGATCTCGCTCGTGTTTGACTCTGCTTTACTGCCGAGTGACTCTCATGGCAGCAGCGCTTCCCGCTCCCTCATCCCGTGAGGAAGTGCGGCGAGAGCCCTCCCCAGCTCCCGGCGCTGGCGGGCGTGGCGCGCATGCGCGGTCCGTGCGCGGGCGCGGTGCATCTGCCGGCGGAGATCGCGAGCTCCGCGGAGCCGCCGCGCGCGGCCCCTCATGCCCAAGCGGCGCGCGGAGCCGTTGATGTTGTCACGTGCCTGTCAAGCGGCCCTGCCGCGTGCCGCCGCTGCCGCGCGCGGGCCGAGCGGCGGCCTCGGAGCGAAACCGGCGCGCGCCGGCCGGCCGCCGCGAAGCGGCCGCTGGAAAGAGGCGGAGGCGCCGCCGGGGAAGCGGCCCGGGCCCCAGCGCCACCCGTGCGCCGCCGGGGGAGGGGGAGGGCGGGTGCGGCGGCGCGGCCAGCCCGCGGTGCCCCAGGACGAGCGGGCGGCGGAAGGATGCGCCGGGGGCCCGGGCAAAGAGCGGACCTCCGCCGCCGCCGAGGTAACGGAGCGGGGCGGGCCGGGCCCCTCGCCTCCGGGGAGGGAAATGGGCGGGCGGTGCCGGTAGCAGCTGAAGCGGTACCGCGGGGTGCTGGCGGGCCTTAGCCAGGCACCGTGGAGCGGCCGGTGCCGCGCGGCCCCTTCTGTGCCTTCCGGGGTTAATCCGCCGTGGGCTGCTTAAAACTTTTTTTTTTTCTTTCCTTTCTTTCGTTTTTAAAACAAGAGAAGTAGCATCCAGCTTTCTCAACTCCACTCCCCTTCCTTCCCCCTCCCTCCGCCACGGAAAACCTGATGGAAAACAACCTGCCAGGAGTTCACCTCACTTGAGTCTATACTCTGCCTCATCCCTTTCCCAACAGCGTGTGGAAGCTTGGAGAGGTTACTGTAGTAGCATGTCTGTTGTGTGAGGGCGAGGGTCAGGCTCACTTACAGCATCAACTTCTTGAACTTCGTGTTTTGCCATTTATTACCAATACCAAAGCTGTCTTTTAACCAAAACATCTTTGGAGTTGGTGGTCATAGGAAGAGCATCAGTGATTTAATGATCAGGGTATACTGAAATTCCTTTTCTGATTGACTTTGAACAGCATGCATTCTTCTTTGGTTTGACCATGCTTTACACAGTAGTTCAGAAAACGAAATTTCGTACCAAGAAAGTTTTAATTTTCCAAAAATAAAATGCTAAGTCAAATTTCACACCTCTCTAGAAGTTTGATGTATATAAACTCAATTTGTGTCCCACCTGGACCTTTTAAGTAAGGCCAGAATATTAGATCAAGTGATAAGGAAGTAGCAGAAAGTCTAATCTTTGAATTACAACTGAATTACTTTGAATTACAATTGTAGACTGGTTTTGAGGTGTTGGGGCCTTTCACAGTATAACACTCATCTGTAAATCCATCTGTAAAGAAAACGGTGGCTGTTCTTTCTCTTGCTCTGACTTTTCACGTTTTCTTTATTGGTTGGTTGGTTAGTGGGGTTTTTTGGTGATGGATGGTAGAATTAAGGCAAAAAGGAAAATCTGAAGAAAAATTCTATGTCTTATGAAAATTGTACAGCCTTTTTAGGCTGTGCCATTTAAACAAGAATCTCTTTCTTTTTTGAAGAGGGAACAAGTGTGTTTGGAAGCATAGCAATTAAACAAATTGAGCAAACCTCTAAAGAGCAGTTTAACTCCATCACAAATATAATGCTGGATTCTTTACTTATCCCTAGGGTTATTTGGCATAGATTTGTAAGCTTTAGCAGTGATAGGAAGATCAGAAGCCCCTTGAATGTCCACACACTAAAGAGTATTACTCTGTATAAAATATTTTTGTAGGACTGTATTTTTAACAGGTTGTTTCTTTAAGTACAGTGTTGTATAAAAAGTGTTCTAGTTTTAAAATAAAGCTTGGTTAGCACCTGAGGCAAGAATGTTTCTTCCAGTTTTTTCCTGCCCATATATTTTAAGTCTTTTATAGAGATATTTCTGATGATGATTTTTAGACCTTTCTGAAAATACAGTCTCTAGGTTGGGATTATTCTTTGCTGTTTGTGGCTTGTGTATTTCATTACTTATATTCATAAGCTTGATCAGGATACTGTTAATTTCACACTGTTGAAGTTTAAAACAATTCCAATTATATTACAGTTGGCCAGAGAAGAAATATTTTAATTTTATTTGGAAGCCCACTTTTGCAACTAGAGTTGGAACACTAACTCCTTAAAAATTAAACAACTTAGTCCATAGAAACAGAGCATTCGTATCTCTGAGCTTGCTACATGTTGCCTATCTTGATAGAATTTATTCTCAAAACGTGTGTTGAAACCTATTTAGCTGAAGGTGAATATTTGATTCTTTATTTTGCCTTTTAGGTGTGGATGTTCAGCGTTTGTGCCTGTCTTTTGTGCTTGATGGGTTTTTTCATTTTCTCACTGAATTTGGGAGTTACTAATACACTGAAATAGTGCTGCTCTGTAGATGTGAAATGTTTCGAGATCAATCAAGCGTGTAGTCTGAGTCCACAATTAAGAGTATGCATATTTTTGTGTTTATGAAGTTTTAGATTCTAATCGCTTTGAAACAAGCATGCAGTCATTTACTCTGTGTATACAAAGTACAGGATTCTGTTTTAAAGTACTTAGCTCTCTGCATAAGCAGAAACTTATGGGAGTATTTGTAAAGGTAGTTGACAGTTTCTGAAACTCCACTGCCAGAGATTTTTTTCAAAGACTTTGTTTGCCACCTGCCTTGCACAGTTCTGTGTGAGTGAGGCTGCCTAGTTTGAAATACGGACTGGAAAACCATCCCTGCCAGACGTTGTTGATTGTTTTTAATGCTGTGCAGTACATTGGCACTATGTAATTTAATTGGTTTTGGTCTCAATTCTCATTAATGGGAATTTTTGTTCTTTGTTATTTTCTGAAGACAGTCTTTTCCCAGTGAGCAAATTCACATTAGTAGTATCCTACAGGCACAGAGCCAACTTGCTGTGATGAAACATGTGCACCTTTCATCTTCTCTTAATTGTTACAGGTCTTGAATAATGCAGGGTTTTGCAGTAGAAACAGGTTACCTAGTACAACAGATTGTATACAGTTCAGGAGAAGTCTATGTGGTAAAAAATAGAAAAATGTTTTCTTTAAATGGGCAGTATGGTGAATTTATGGTGTCTGTCTCTCTTTTGGGAAGTGGGAAGAAGCATAATTTTTCAGTATGTTAGAGGGGGGTGATACTGCTATTGTTTGAGTGTTACATTTTTTTATTCTGTGGCAAAACCAGACAAATCGTGAATTTTTTCAAGAGCCATACTGTAGAGGCCCAGAAAAGCTGATGGTGGTGGTGCATACACCACCCCCCCAGGCCACACTGTGGTCTGAGAAATACCAAAACAGTTATACCAGCTTATTTGTTACCACCTGTTACAGCTGAGACAGTAAAGTAAAATATTTAAACATTCTAATTGTATGTTAGAAAAATGCAAACAGATATTATGTGGAAATGAATTATTTTAGATTTGTGACAGTATTTACTGTTTTTAAATACCAGAAGGAAATACATGTTCAAGACCTAAGGAACGACTTAAGAATTCCTCTTCTTCTCTGTATTATGTCCATAGAAACATGCACAGATTGGCCACTGTTTATAACAATGACATGGTTATAAACAGGTAGTGTGTTTTCTAATAGACGTTTAAAACAATTTTTTTAATGTAATTCCATATTAAAATAGTAGATAAGTACATGTTGCTCCAAGATTTTTCTGATGCTGCTTTCCAGTTCTTAAACTTTCCTCTCTTGAGTATTAAATTTAGACACAGAAAAGAAGAAACAAAATGTGCTTTAAACACTATGCAATGCCTTATTTATCTTGCAATTATCATCATCTGAGTTGATGTAAAGTAGGTAAATACAGTCTTCTGAATGTTTTAAATGTGCATGAAATTTGCATACTGTTATGAGAGGAAAAAGCAGTGAGCAGTTTTTGTATGCAAACTTCAATAATTGCACAAGTTTTACAGTATTTTTCTGTGCAAAGGTTGTAAGTTGAAGAAATTGGTGCAGTCATGAATGTATTTCACAGAGGTTGTGTGATAGTTCTTTGCAAGAGTATTTAAAAAGGCAGAATAAATTGTGATTTACTTCAAAATCATACAATTTTAAGAACTGTTAATATAGAACAGCTGAATAAGTCCTCCTTGTTTTAGTTTCTTGCATAACACATTTATTTTTACTGCTGGGATACAAATTAATGTTTTGTTGCCTCTTTGTCTATTTGTCTCTTTTCAAAGCAAGAAGAATTCTGTCCGTATAACTCGTTCCTGTATTGGAGAGCACCACTGCCTACTCTTGATTTGTCTGATATTCAGAACCTAGTTGGGGAGACTCCATCAAACACTAGAACTCCTTCGAAGACTGATACCACAGAGACTGAAATGGAAACCTGATCAGTTGTTTCATAGTTGTACATTTACTTGCTGGAAACTTGTTTCCAGTGGGATTCAGGTTTTGTTACTTGGCTGAATAATAAGCATGCTTATGCCATCTTGAAGAAACTGTTGTGGCAGTCTGCAAAAGCAAGTCTGAGTTGCCTAAGTGAATGGGATAGTCAGTATTGGGTACTTTATAGTAAGCTGTCTGGAGGTGTGCAGTATGGAGGAGGCTATGATGCCTAACGAGAATACTTGAAAACATGGAAGAAGACTAAAAGAATACAGAAAATTAGAACTTAAGGGTGCAATTAAAAAGAACAGGTGGATATGTTACATATCAAAGGGAAATGGAAAATCATTTTGTCTGTCCT